ATTTTCCCTGAGGGAAAGCCATCTATTCAAATCCAGAAAAACATCCAAATGTATTTGAAAAGCAGGCCTAGAAAAGCCTTCAGGGCAGCCAGGCCCTGGCTGCTCAAGGCCCCCAGACAGCAGCCCCCAGCCCGAGTGCAGGGCAGCCAGGTGCGGCTGCAGGGCCGGGTCCAGCTGGGGTCCCGGCCCTGTGGTCCCTGCTCTGGGCGGGGCCCTCCATGTTGTCCCTGTGCGTCCCTGTGTGCCATGCAGTGTATTCTCAGAGTGAGAAGAGACCACAGACAGAGCATTATCCCCCACTGATGTGCCGACTTTTAAGAATAATCACGGCTCACCTCTGGCATGATCTCGATCTTCTCGTACCGACGTTTGAAGGGCAGGGTGAGGACCTCGGCCCGCCGATAGGACGTGGCTGGGGGCTGGCAGTCGATGACAAGGTCTGTCCTGTGGGACTGGGCTGGGGGTGGCTGGGTGTACTGCTCAGGACAGACCACGTGCAGGGGCTGAGGAGCCAACAGGACAGGGTCAAGGGAGACGGCAAGAAAAGCAGAGCAGCTGCTCCCTACCCCGCCTCTCCCCCATGCACAGGCTGACCACTTTCAGGCCACCGTGAGCACAGCTCTCCTGAACCCGGCTAACCAGTCAGAGGTGAGCAGGGTGCGGGGTAGAACAAACATCTCAGGGAAACCCCTTGACCGCCAGCTGCGTGAATGAGCGAGGGATTTACTGCCTCAGTCTGCATTTGCTTTTATTTTTTCCCTCTATTTACGTAACTTTCATGGTGACTTCCACATCTTACTCCCAAGAGGTCTCTAAGCTCTTGGAGGGCACAGTCGCCTTGTCGCATTTAGCGCACACAACTGTCACACGCTCTTGGCCAATCAGCAAGAGCTGTGGCTTCTGTGCTAGGCTGGTGTTCTGCGTGTGGAGTTTCTTCTGCCATCTGCAGGTCAAGTGGCGTCAGCCAGTGGGCATCGGTCAGGTCACATGCTCAACTGTGCACGACAGTGAATCAGAGATAGAACTTTTTTTTTTTTAAACAAAATGTCTTTCTTTTGGTTATCTTGAGAGGAAAAAAAATTAGTAAACCAATGTTTACTTTGGACAAATATCACTCAATTGGACAGTAGTGTTGGCAGCCCACAGTGTCATTGTATCATACCCCTGCTTTTAAGAGTTTGGGCCATGCCACAAATTCCTTGAAGAACAAGGTTTTCCTGCCAACATGGGAAGATCGCTTGAAGCCAGGAGTTTGAGACCAGCCTGAGCAACAGCGAGATCCTACCTCTACTAAAAATAGAAAAATTAGCCAGGTGTGGTGGTATGTGCTTGTAGTCCCAGCTCCTTGGGAGGCTGAGGCAGGAGGATCACTTGAGCCTGGGAGTTTGAGGTTGCAGTGAGTTATGATGACGCCATTTGTACTCTAGCCAGGGTGACAGAGTGAGACTCTGTCTCAAAAAGAAAAAAAAAAAAGGCTTTCCAACAAACTGAACTAGTTGGATTTAAAACAGCACTTGTTTCTCAGGGCTGACATTTTTCTTCAACTTGCCTTTTGTTCTTCTTCCTGACCTGGTTAGTATCTTTATCTCAAAGCCATCTGACTGCACGATCACAGCCAGGACTTCTCCCAGGTTTTCCTCTCCTCAAGTGGAGACAAGGTGGCCTCCGGTTTACAAGATCAGCAAACCACAGAGGGGCGTAAGGAGCACACAGCTGGCGTAGGGACTGGGAATTGAAGTTTCTGAGTAATGAGAAACAACAGGCTCTTAACCATTTTTTCCAGCATAGTGATGAACACACATGGGGCATCACATGGCTCCACATGGGCTAAAAACTGGCTACCTGCTCTACTCGCACCTAGAGAAAGCCCATATCCTTTCTCTGCAGCGTGAGCAAGGCAGTGATCACCGGAATCCATTCTCCCTGCATTCCTGAGGTCTCCAGCTTTCCTGTTTCTTGCTACCCTGCCTTAGAGCTTTGGGTAAGGGCCTCTCATCCTGAGGTCGAAGATTCTCTGCAGAGGAGGAAACAGAACTTCTGACCTAGGCCAAGAGATGAAGAGCGCCAATCCTACCTGCTGAGTGACGAGGCGGGAGGCAGTGCCAGGGCGCCTGGCACTCCTTGACGCTTCTGAAAACATCGAGGGAATGGGAACGCAGAAACTTTCCTCTCACCTGTTCTTAGCCACCTTCCTCGCCAATTCCAATTAGTCTCCCTGTTCCCAGCTGCCAGAAAACACTCCAGGC